ATATGGCAGTCCCTGCTGACTGCAATGTATCTTTAAAGATATTCAAAAAGTTGTCAAAGTACAAGGACCTTGAAATAGAAATCTCGAAAATGTGGCATATGGGAACATCAACAATCCCTGTTGTAGTTGGAACCCTAGGACTGGTTGGAAAAGATTGCAGTAGACTAATTGAAGGGATTCCTGGAAGTCCATGCCTCAAGGAGATACAAAAAATTGTTCTGACAAGTACAGCCCACACCTTACGAAGGGCTTTATCTATGTAATTTAATTTTTTTTTTTTTTTTTTTTTTTTGTCAGTGAAAAGTGTCATGACGCCATTTCTAAACTTAGGTCTCTGGGCGGGACCCGGAAAGAAATGTGTAAACGCCAGAAATCAAAGAAAATAAAAATAAAAATAAAAATAATAATAATAATAATAATGATAATAATAATAATAATAATGTTTGAGAAACTCAGTAAATACAAGGACCTCGATATCAAAAGAATGGCATCTGAAGACATCATTACCTGTTGTTGTTATCGCAAATTTGTAAATGAAATCTAAAGGAGGAAACAAATATGTGGGCCAAATTCCTGACAGCCTTAAAATCGCCAAAAAAAAAATCATACTCAAGGCAACTTCTCAAATCTTGTGTAGATTTCTTTCTCCCTATGCAGTGACTACAATTGCATTTTTTTTCTTGTCTGATTGCATAGCACCTCATCTATTTGCATCTTCTGATACAGAAACATTTCTCGCCTCTTGAAGTCTGGTTGACACTTGGTGGCAAGACGTACTGCGAAAAACAAAAGTAGAACGCAAAAACAACAACAACAACAACAACAATAATAATAATGACTAAAAAACTTTATATAACAAAAGTTTCTCTTACCCAATCAAATGCAAGCGTAAAATCCATTCACAAATCATAGCTGTGCTTATAATTGTCTCACATACGTGTTTGTGTATAGGTAAACTAGTTTATATTTTTACCCATAAATTTGCATATGTTACGCCATGCACCACCATGTGCAGTGTTGTGCAAAAGTAGGTGAACTCCTAAGATAATATTTAAAATAATTGTCTCTTTTTTTTCAGATAATCAACAATTCTTAATTAAACTATATATTCATTAAGAAAAAACCGTTATTAAATGATTTTTTAAGCGTTTCACCCAAGCAAGGTGGAAAGCCACTAGGACGCAAGGGGTTACAGAAGATTTGGAGCATGATCAGATAGGAGTGATAGAAGAAAGGATGAAGAGAAGGATAGTGGATAGATCAAAGCAACTGGAGATGTCGATTGACATTACATTTGAATAGCTGGAGATTATAGCTCTCAGGGAAATTGGAATAGGGAAGGGAGTTCCACAGGCGAGAGGTGCGAGACATGAATCTATTGGAGTAGAAGAGACGGCTACATTTAGGGGTTTCGACAGTGAAAGGGTGAGAGCGGGATGCCAGCCTCGTAGGGCGCTTGAATTCATGAAGTCTGGGAACCAGCGAATGCAGCTTCTCGGAGCAATTACCATGAAAGTATTTGTAAAAAAGACAGAGAGAGGCGACGGCGCGTCTGTGAGAGAGCGATTGTAGACGAGATGCCAGAACAGGGCCAATTATATTGCATATCCACCTCTGGATCTTATCAAGAACCCCGAGGCAAACAGAAGGGGGTCCAGACCATATATGGCAGCAATACTCCATGCAAGGGCGAATTGTTGATTTACAACCACTTTTATTTTTTTATCAAACTGGAATAAAAATATTAATTAAAAATTAGGATGAGCAAAAGTAAACTCTTTTTGTTTTACATAGTTGTCAGTGAAAATATTTTGATGCACATGTAAAAATAATACGTGTTCATTTTTTGGTAAACTGTGTATACTGCAATCAAATAATATAACTCATTGTGTATGCAAAGGTGTGCAGTTGAAGACTATTTCTTTTAAATATATATGCAAAGATCAAAAGAACTTCCTAAAGCTTTAAAAGATCGCATAATTGAAACCTATGATGATGGAGAAGGCTACAATGCTATCAAAACAATTTGGAATGCACTTCTCTGCCCTTCAACAAATTATTTATAAATGAAAGTCTTTTGGTATGACGGCACATCAAGAAGTGGCCATCTATGAAAAATAACAGTAAAAGCAAATAGACATCTAGTTCGGCAAGCTCAGACAAATCCTGCTGTGACTTTGTTGTTCTCCAATGCTCACTGGCCAATATCGGAATCAATGTATATACATCTATAGTGCCATGAAATCTGAATCATTCCGATCTTCATGATAGAATGCCTAGAAAAAGCCATTGCTTAAGAAATAGCACAAACATGCTCGCTTCAGCTATGCCAAAGATCATATTAATAAGCCAGAAACATTCAGACAAAAGATTTTGTGGTCAGATGAGACTAAACTGAAGCTTTTTGGGAAGACCAATATATGTTATATCTTGCAAGTTCCAAATACGGCTTTTGAAGAGAAGAATTTGATACAAACTATTAAATATGGCATGTGACAGCATTATGATTTGGGGGTGCTTTGCTAGAACATGGAAAATTGTATGTATTGATGGCACAATGGAATCTGCAAGATTCCATTGTGCCATCAATACATACAAGCAATTTTGAACGAAAGTGTCTTGTCCTCAGTTCCAAAGTTTATATCGTGACTGGAACTTCCAAGAGAACAATGATCTGAAATATCTTAGCAAATCCACAAAAGAATGGGTTCATAAAAAGAAATTTCAAGTCTTGGAAGCGCCTGCTCAAAGCACTGATCGAGACCCAATTGAAAATTTGTGATTCAAATAAAAAAAGGCAGTGCATGGAAGAAACCCCAATAATATTGAGCAATTGTGGGAGTTTTGCCAAGGAGAATGGTAAAAATCGGCACACACTACTTCAAAAAATGTCTTCAAAATTATAGAAAGACTGGTTGACATTGTAACCTGAAAAGTGACTGTCACTAAAAATTAAATGTAAGGTTTCACTTACTTTTGCACATCTGAATTTTAAATTAATATTTTTATTTCAGCTTGATAAAATTTTTTTAAAGTAGTTGGAATTGATTTAATAAAAGTTTTTCTTAGTGAGTATCTAGTTTAATTAAGATTTGTTGATCATTTGGAAAAGAGACAATTTTTTTTTAAATATTATCTTAAGGGATTACTTACTTTTGCATAGCACTGTATGGTTAAATATATGCACACACAAAGCACAAACACATACATATATATATATGAGTGTGTGTGTGTGTGTGTGTGTGTGTGTGTGTGTGTGTGTGTGTGCGTAAAACAACATGATAAAAATTATTTGTGACGCGTTTCATCCATTAGGACTGGGTTTATTGACGTTTTTTGACTAAACGTACACATGACAACGTCAACAAACCTAGTTCAATAAAGTCCTAACAGATGAAACCCGTCACAAATATTTTTTTTCCATTTTGTCTTACAATTTACTGAATACTTTTGTTGATATATAATAATATATATCGTTATCTCATATCATAAGTATCTATATATATCTATATATATATATATATATATATAAGTATATATCTCTGTCTTTATATATATATATATATATATATATATATATATATATATATATATATATCAAATATATAGTGCAGTTTAATTTATATTACAATGAATCATTCATACAAAAAGTAAATTAGTAAAGTTAATGATATAAAATGACAAAATCCCTTTGCTAACAAAATTTTAAAAATGTATTAACCCACTAACCACTCGATGAATGTCATGATCCTTATTTTTTAAAATTATGAACTGTATTAGGTCTTCTTTAATTAAGTACTTGTTATCAAAAACATACTTCAAAAAACATTTTGATTTGCATTATATTTTTTCGTCTTGGATGCTACCTGAATTTTACCAAAAAGAAAATAGATTCTATGCCTGATGATGACCGGAGAACCTGTCGAAAGTACTTGCATATTTAAGGAAGACCTAATACAGTTTATAATTTTAAAAAACAAGGATCATATCATTCATCGAGTTGTTAGTGGGTTAATACATTTTTAAAATTTAGTTAGCGAAGTGTATTCGCCATTTTATCTCATTAACCTTATTAATTTACTTTTTGTATGACTGATTTATTGTAATATATATATATGTGTGTGTGTGTGTGAGAGAGAGAGAGAGAGAGAGAGAGAGTATGTATATATGTTCATCTATACGAGTTTTTAAGTCGATAATTAAAAAATAAAGGCAAGGATTCCTACGAGAACCAAAAATATATTGTTCAAGCAACATTTTTAAATGCGGCTTATTTTGGCTTCCTCGTTTATATATATCTCAAACAAATGTCTTTATTTTCTTTTGTGTCACTGTAAATGAAAAATGCCTTAATTTAACTTGACTTACAATGAAACAATGAATTTTAATTCAATTTCCTTGTTTGTTTCGATGTTAATTATTATCACCATTATTATTATTATTATTATTATTATTATTATTATTGTTATTATTATTATTATTACAGTTCAATCCTTCGTACGAAGCCGTTTTGAAACAGAATTCATTTTTCCGTCTGTATGGACATACATATTTAAATTTGTGTATGTATGCATGTATCTACGCTGATAATTTGTTAAAGGAGGAAACAAAATCTGTAGAGTTATCTCCCTTTGAAACGCCATTATTGATCTTTTCTTAAACCTTATTTATATCTATTTTTATAATCAGAACTTCTTTTGATATATTTCAGCGTTCAACAGCGTTTTTTATTTTGACTGTAGGTTTTCTAACTATAATTAATTTTTAATTAAGAAAACTTACAAAAAAGATTGCGAACAAATGTGTAAAAGAAAAGCAACAAAGAAAGATGAAAATGTTTTATTTTGCTTTATTGTGGGGGGGATATATTTGTGTGTTTGTTTTCATGTCATTTTCTTATGGTTAAAGCCATCTATATCGATGACACGTCAATTAGTGTATACGGCTTAATGTTATCATTACTATAAACACCGCCTCTCTTGCCTCTGGCTTTATTGCAGGTTTCATATGCTTATATATTTGCCTTCATATCTGTGGACATGTTGGTCTTTTGGCGATAGGCGTAAAACCTGTCCAGCTTCATCATTGTGAAGGATACTGGCTTAATTGCTCTTTCTTTCTTTATTTATTTCTTTCTTTCTCTCTCTCTCTCTCTTTCTTTCTCTCTCTCTCTCTTTCTTTCTTTCTCTCTTTCTCTCTCTTTCTTTCTCTCTCTCTTTCTTTCTTCCTTTCTCTCTTTCTCTCTCTCTCTCTAAACGATAGAAACACTGACATTTGA